GGGAGAAGGAGAGCAGAGCCCCATTGTCGTTTCACCAATGGCGGCCGATTTTATAGTGATCTAATGTACAGATGTTATTTACCCCGCAATGAGAATAGAATAAAAGCATTGTGCGCATTATGATTTGAATCCCGTATCTCGCTACGTTTCTATACCTACCCTCCTACCTACCTACCTACCTATCTACCTACCTACTTACCCTCACTCTATTTAGCCCTAACACGCATGATATACGTAATGTACAAAAGTGTACAAAAGTTGCTCACGTTTCCGTACTTTCGTTTAAGTTCGAAAAATACAAGAACAATGCTTTTGTAATGTCTGCAGCTAGTTCGAATACGTACCTATATACTCCGATATATATTACGGTTTACGAATGATTATACATATACGTATAAATTCCGAAGATTGTTCCGACAAGAAGGATATACATGTATATACAAGTAATAATAACGACATGTATATACAAGTAATAATAACGACGAGACTGATAATGAGAAGAAAGGACTTGATAAAAAGGATTCATAGAATCATCAATATCGATCCATTGATTTTTTCTCTCGAATAAATCTGAAAGATTAAAAGTGTGAAAAAAAACACGATTGTCCATCACGTACCAAATATATTTCATATTTTCCATACGCCCTTTTTACGGGCGGTTCGCTGAATTATTATCGTGGTTAAATATTGTTGTACTTGTCGCAAATCGTAACGTAATAACGTGTCACGCGCAATCTCCAATTTCCACTCGGTCAAATTATCCACATTGTAATTTAGCAATCGATGAAATTGAATACGTCTGCTGCGAGCATCATCGAAAGTGTCACACATATAAGTATGTATACGTGTGTGTGTACGAGGAAACATAAATATAATACAATCGCGAAATGACGGGAAATGACTTTTTTTGATGATGCTCATGGGAAGAGCGTTTTTCATTTGATGGCAAATTTGAGCAATAATAAAAAATGTATTCTAAACGCAAAGAGAGAGTTCGTTGACGTCGGCGTATATCTATGTGTGTGTGTGTGTGTGTGTGTGTGGTGTGTGTGTGGTGTGTGTGTGTGTGTGTGTGTG